GGGAGAGTGCTCCCTTTGGCACAGTTATCAGAGGGGGTTCTAGTAGAAAAATTCTGATTTCAGAGAGTCCATGAAAGGAAGATAAAGTTTAGAAGGGCCACAAGATAACCAAGGGAATAGCAAAAGGAAAGAAGTCTCAAACTACAAAGGAAACTGCATGTGGTTACATTTGGCTAGCAAATAGCATGAGAGGATTGGAGGCTGAAGTGAGGCTCGAAGGCTGGAGTCCTCGGGGATCACCTAAATGCCATTCTGAGTGAGCTGCAATCTCTGAGAGTGAGTGTGGCATCAGAAAAGGTTCTGAGAAGAGAGCAACGGAGTCAAGGCAGTGGCATATGAATATTCAAGGGGCATTGGTTAGCAAATGAGATTGGGAGAGTGCTCAGAGACTGTTTCCATTACCCTAGTGAGAAAGCACCAGAGCCCAAGCTCTGGTGAATGTGGGAGGAACGCAGGAGTGACATTTCTGTTTCTCTGGGTTCACTCTGAAGTCCAATAATGAAACACCTTAAAGGATACTCCAAGCAATTTAAATGTTTATGGTCCAGAAGTAGGAATTACTTAATAGGCTATTTTAAATAACTATTACAATCATTAATTATCAAAGTTAATAAGAAATTGAGACATACCTAGTTTTACCTTATTTTCTAGGCTAGTGAGTAGGCAAAGAGAGCTATGTGATTTGTCAAAAGATGCAAAGATAATGAATGCCTAGGAAAGATCTGCAACATAGGTTTCCTCAGTTGTAGGCTGCCTGGGGACCTCCCATAAGAACAGTTTTAATAGCATTTGGTTACTTCACTAAAGCATCTTTTGAATCATATTTAATTATCTTCTTATATACAAATGTCTGAAAGCCCAATTTCAGTCTCCTTGGCTGGTGGCTCTTCTACCGAACCTCATAACAGGGAGCTTGGACTGAGAACGTAGCTTAGTGGTAAAGCACCTGCCTAACATGTGAGGCTCTGGGTTCAATCCCAAGCACTGCCAAAAGCTTTTTAAAGATTTCTGCATGTGCTTTCACACATTTCCTTAGTTACAACTAATACGTCTATGTAAAAGCACTCATCTAACCTCTAGTTGTGACCTTTTGCATCAGACCTCCACTGGAAATCTCCACCAATTTCCTAAACAAAATGTACTATTTTTCTCTTTTAAGTTCCCAGATTGGGTTAAGCATTATTTAGTCAACTTAGTCTGGAAACAATAGTCCCCTTTAATTCTGTCTCCTATTTGCTACTCGAAGCATCTCTTGAATATATGACTTTCTTTCCACGTGACTGGTATGCCCATGGCCCAGAGCCTTATTCCTGGCCCACTGGGCTACTATGCTTATATCCTACTACGGTCCCTGATAGTCACTGCTTCCTCTATCTGGCTATTTTCATAGTGCTTATCAGGTACAAAACATATAGTTGGAACCTAAGTTTTCTTAACTCCTTACTTGAACTAAAGAGCCTTCTAACCGGAGGGCTGGTTAACCTGCTATATAAACAGCCAGACAGTAAATATTTTAGATTTTGAAGACCACATTGAATTTTGTTGTGGTAATGTTGCACATTATACATAGTGGACAACTGTACCTACATTCCACAAAACTTTATGTATATAGTCTTCAAGTGTTACAAAATAACAATAATAGCATTGTTATTATATGATATAATAGCATAATAGCATTATTTTTTGAATGTATTTCCCAAGGCGGCTTCAAATTCTTGGGTTCATGTGATCCTCCTGACTCAGCCTCTCATGGAGTTGAAACAGCAGGTACATGCCACTGTACCTGGCACAAAATACTTTTTTTTTTTTTTTTTTTTTTTTTGTGGTACTGGGGATTGAACTTAGGACCCTGCGGCTTGCCAGGCAAGCACTTATTCTACTGAGCTATCTCCCCAGGCCAAAATTACTACTTTTTCCCCAAACAAAAAACAACCTTAAACCTAGCTTATAAATATACAGAAAAAACTAATAGGCCAGATTTTGCCCATGGCTATAGTTGCTGGCCACATCTTCTACATCATCTCTCCAAGCTCAGTCTTTGCACTGCTATATGAGGCAGGATTCCCCACCCAGAAAGCCGATCATGGTGACAGTGGCAAATGCATGGAGACCAACCCACTATTCTCAGAATGGCCAAGACTCCCATATGGCCCTTCCTCTGCACCCTGATTCCCTTCTCGGTCTTACCTTCCACCAAGTACATACTCTGATTGCACAGTTTATGTTCTCTCCGCCTTTATGTCTTTTCATGAATTGGTCCCATCTTTTTCCACTTTGAAAACTCCTACTCCTGAACTAATTAATCGAGATCACTGCCAAGTATCTCTCTGTCCCTGCCAATCATTTTCACTCTCAGCTTTCCCTAGCACCTTCACCTTCCCCCATGCAAAATGAGCCAATTCTCCTTCCTATGTGCTCCCATAGTAACGTTTACTTCTCCCATAGCAGTATTGTCACACTTTATTATAACTACACTTACAGATTTGGCTCCTTTAATTGAGTATAAGCAACCTAAAGATGAAGTGAATCTTATCATTCTCTTAGGGCCAAGTAGAGTACAGTGGTGCCTCGGTTTACGAACTTGTTCTTTCCAGGATTCTGGTTGCAAACTGTGTTGGACAAGAACCCAGGCAAATTCAACAGTTAGGTTCAATGTTGACTTTATGGGGAAATTTGATTTAATTGTACTTCAAAGATAGTAGGTACTCAGTAAATGTTGACTATATAATATTGATTTCACCATTACTTTATAACATAGATTTCATATCAGAGTTTAAACTATGATAAAAAATATGCCAATCAAGATATTTGAAACTGAATGGTGAGGTGCTATTTGCATGTATTTTACCTAGTCTATCGTAAAAAAGAAAAAAACACAAAAATGAAAAACATTTCTCAGTCACACCTGAGTGTACTGAGTCTATAAATAATGATAAAAGCTAATAAACTTTTAAAAAAGTATATCAGAAGTAACCAAGTCACACTTTAGTGCAAAACAGACTTGTGTGGTTCCTTACAAACTGTCATCTTTAAACTTATGAATGTAGATTTTATAAAAGATGAGCATAAACTAAATATAAAATGCTTTCAAAGAGTACTGCATTTACAAAACAGGTAATTAAATTTTATTTCTGTAAAACTAGGTCTAAATTTTTATAGAATTGGTTAATTAAAGCTCAATGGAAAAAGCTTTCTGTGGAACCAAGCACAACAGTTTTTCTTAAGAACAAAGGAATTAGTTACCACTTGTCCATTTTTAGCAGTTGGCGCATTGTAATATACTCTACTTGCAAGAAATTGATCTTGTCAAACAGTATAAATTGAAACTGTTTGGGGAAAACTCTCTGTGGACTTTGACTTCAGTAATTAACTCTCAGAATAAGATAGAAGGCAAAAGAGGCAAAGCCAGCATTAATATTTATTCATTGAAGCTCAGCCACAGAGACACTAAAAGCTGTCCTATTTCTGTGGTTTACTAGTACTTAGTGCACAAATGGTTAGTGCTCAATACAAATCTGACAGAAAAGAAAAACTGTACCATTATCATGATGAAGCTGAATTCTGAAACTTTGTAGATTAAATAACCACTAAAACTGGGTCAGTATTATGTCCTCAGTTCCACAATGGCAATATGTTAAACAGACATTAAAAGAACAGCTATTATTCTACTACAACTAAGCAGTATTTTCTCATAAAAGTATTTAATCGAGGGCTTTTCACAAATACCATAGTGTATAAATGATTTATTTTCCTTCTTTCTCTTTCTTTCCTTCCTGTCTTTTTCTTTCACTGTTTAAAAAGGAAGGTGTCAAACCATTTGGAATATTATCACAACAAAATGTTTTCTTTTTCCTTAACAAAGTTTGATTTTAACAGAACTAGAGGCATCTTAACACTAACCCAAAACTTTGGGAGGTTCACCAACCTCTAGAATATTTTTTTCTCCAAATGCAGGCTGTTCAAGTGGTGCTTTTCTCCATCTGTTATCATACCGTGCTCAGAATTACATTGTCATATTTAATGTAAAAGGGATCAGTCCCCTTTCGTAGTTTAAATTCAACATCATACTATAATTGGAAGACCAATGTTTTTCTATTTTACAAACTAAATCAAATATCATAAACTTACATGTGTATTTAGACAAAATTCCCTCTTAAAAACTGAAAAAACTCTAAAAATTGAATGATCCCAAAGCCTTCATCCGAAAACTGAAAAACTGTACTAAAATTCAAAGTGAGAAAGAACCACTTATGTGGTAAAGTGAGATATCTACTGTTTCCTTTTGATTTTTCCCTGTGTGTGTATTTAGATATGTGTGTGTGTGTTTCCAACACAGCAAATACAGTGCTTGCAACCTAAATGGTCTTATTTTAATTTACAGCTGAGCTATATGTTTACTGAAGTTTACAACAATAGCAATCACATCACAGTATCTCATAATGAAAACAAGGCAATATAAAACCTCAATGGTAGAAGCATGGTTATTATAATGATTTGAACATGAACAGTGCTAATCAATTTGATCTCTAAATTTTATACCTCTTTAGGACACAGATCTTTATTTTGTATAAGCTCCATTTCAATTTGCATTTTAGGATTTTTTTTTTTTTACTTTGTCTCTTTCATCACTGACATATCTGCTTATTTCCCTAAATGTATTCTTCAGATCCAACATGTCAGTGTTTTTATCAGATGAGGAATTAACAAGAGAGGTTGTGGTGATGGTGGGAGAATTATGTCATTTTGCTTATATTGATAGAGAATCGCTTAAATATTTGAGCATTGTAGATGAAAGGTTTTGTAATATATCAGTAATTCTCTGCCACACTTATCATTCACATGTCTGGGTGTTTTGCTTACCACATCTCCACTTTTCTTAATATGCCTGAAAGCTGTGTGTGAATCGAATGACTAAGACCAACTCTAACAACTGTTTGGAAGCCTGTGGCAAAATCAGTGGATGGCATCAGGGAAGGGCGCGTAATGGGATTAGGGAGTACCTGGAGAGGTGCAGTTGGTGCTCGGATTCGCCCAGCAGCTCTGTTAGTTTCAGGCACTCCTCTCTGGCCCGGGCTGCCTTCTGCTGCTCCTGCTCCACATGCCGCTTGCTTTCACTCAGTTCTACTCGCAATTTCTCTATTTCCTTAGGTGGAGAGCAAGGGAAAAAGAAGCATCCGTATGAAATAGGAGCACTTAAGTTCAAAATTAGCTCTTGTTTGTTTTTCCTCTGGATTTTAATGTTGATGAAAAATTATGAGAAAATTTAGGCTAGATTCTGTTTTATGACAAAGGGAATTAAAACATCCAGACATGTGTATTAGTGAGGCTGTTTTGGATGTAAGATGAAATCTAGTTTTAAAAATGAAATGATTAAATAAGAGTTGTCAAAATGCATAGTCTGCACTCCCACTCTAAGGTTTTTGCCTTTAAAAAGTCATAATTTGAAATGCTACTATTTTCAAAATGCTGTCTTTGTTTAAGAGATTGATCAGAAACATGCAGGGATGTACAGTAAATATGCAACTTTTTATTCTGAAAGGTATGATTTACAATTTTATTTGGATGCTATGAAAACCAGATTAAAGGTTATAATCTTTTAAGATATCTTTCAGAAAAATATAAAGTGTAAAAGAAGGCATATTACAATGTTCAATATTATTTGGACAAATGATTTAGAGAAAATAAAGCATGAGAAACTTTAAGCTTAAAAATTTGGAGCTGCAATAATATTACAGCAAAATTTGCATTTCTAAAAAGCAACAAAAACACTCTAAGACCAATAAATGAATAGATAAAAATGAAATTCTATGATTGTTTGGTTCAGAAAGAAATTATTTTTATTGTACTGAAAAAAAATTTCAAATCAAAAACACTGATATAGGATAGAGTTTTAAATAATTTTTATAGTAAAGTAGAAATATTTGTTACAGAATATTTACAAAATTAAGCAAAAGAGAATAGATGAATATTTAAATATATTCAAATTACAGAAAAACAAAAGGCCAGAAATATTTTCAGGTTTAACAGAAAGTAAGAAATAATTTTGATACACAAAAATACAAAGTCCCTTTCAGAAAAAGAACCATATCTTAGCTGAGCATTTTAAACTTAGCATCAAATTTATTTTTAGATTATCTCATTATGTCATTACATCATGTAATGTATTTCATTACATCATTACTCAAAATCCTGAATGATCTCCAACTATAGTTAATACATCATGTAAGATAAATGTAACAATTTCTTTGTAACTTTTCTTACATTCGTAACACAAAAACTATGTATTACCAATAATTTAACTTTGCAAATATTTTTTAAATATTATAATAATGAATATGTTGCTTTCATTCAAAGTAGGCTCGCTATATCTTTAAGAGAATACTAAATATAACTGATTTCTTTTAAATATTTTGTTATTAAATTTATACCAATATATTCTATTACACAGTTATACTAGTAACTATATATACTAATATATTAGCTATACTAATATACTCAATATCATGTGGTTAGAGGTGAGAAACAATAAAGACTATTAAATTTTACTTGGTAAGTTATAAAATTAACAGAAGCAAAGTACAGAATTGGAATTATGTTTGGGCTTTAAAACTTTAAAAATTCATTAATTTTTCATACAATGACATATGCAAAAAATGTGTTACATGTTATATTGGACTTAGAGTTCCCATGTCAATATTCAGAAGTTAACAATTTATTTGGGTAAATGAAAAATATACACACAAAAAATATCAAAATACAAAGTTTATATATAAAATAGTTGTTAATCCATGATAATTCATGCATACACATCCAGATGAAGGCTAATTTAGCACTGACAAGAAGAGAAAGAAAGATACGATTTACAATTTCATTTGGATGTTATGAAAACCAGATTAAAGGTTATAATAAATTTAAGATATCTCTTAGAAAAATGTGAAATGTACAAGAAGGCATTATTACAATTTCAATATTATTTGAAAAAAATGATTTAGATAAAATAAAGCACGAAAACCTTTAAGCAAAACTCAAGGAATGATAAGAGTAGATGCCATCATGAAGGTCTTGGACTGTGGATTAATAAAGCTGTATTTTACTTAAAATGACGAGAGACATTACTAATTTAAACAGGTATGAGTTAAGAAAAAAAATTATACCAATGTGTAAGATCAACTTAAAGTGGAAAAGAATAATGACAGGGAGACAGAACAGATAGGATGAGTGCAGAGACATTAAACAGAAAAATAAAGAAAGCGTAATGATTCAATGGGAATAAAAGGACAGGGGCTAAAGACCAAAGATCACTCTAGAAGTTTGAATTGAGAAAATACTAAAAAAATGACAGATACAAGAAACACAAAATTCCAAACTTTCTCTGAAACAAAGATATGGGCTGGAGATGTCCCACTTGTTTTGCATGTACAAGGCCCTTGGTTCAATCTGCAGCACTGAAAATAAAATAAAATAAAATAAAATAAAAATAAATAAAATAAAACAACAATAGAATAGACAATCATTTTGTAAGTACCTTTCAATAACAACATATAGTATATGCCTCACATTGATAGGTTTATAAGCATAAATCACCTGCTTTCTTATCTCATGTGATTAGTCAGAGGCTGTATTGAAAGCCAGTCAAATATAGGGAAAAGAACACACTTGTAGGCCCAAGAGCCAACACAAATCATGGCTCCAGGCACAGCTCTGCACTTTGCAGCTCTGTGACCTTGCACAAGTCATCTGACCTCCATCTAACTTCTTCAGCCTAAAATGAAAGTGAAATTGTAGCAAGCTCCAAAGCCTTATGAAGACTGACAGGGATGATGAGTGTTTTAGCTGAGGGCTTAGCACGTTTGAGCTACAAAATACCTTTCAAAACTAGCAAGGTAGTAAACAGAAAAAAATGGCTTGCCTAAGGGTATTTGGCTATCCCTAAACAGTACTTGATTAGAGTCAGTCAAATTTCCTCCTTCAGCATACTGGTAGAGCTTTTATAATTTTCAAATGCAAAAAGCATTTTTGTTAGAAAGAGGGAAAATTACTGCCTGCCTCTGATTATCCATGCCAGCCAAAGAGCTTATTGGTACAGATAATCAAAACCAACAAATCATCTACCCAGCTGGACGAGGGCTCAACACTTACACCCTGAGTCAGGAAAATCTGCCATGGCACCAACTCCAACAGTTAGAAGAGAAAAGTCTTGCCAGAAATGCCACGCTCCCACTGGCAGCATGATCCTTTGCTTCACCCAACTAGGTCAGGGTCACTTCCTTGGCTGAACATAGTGACTCAGGGATGAAAGGCCAACCACGGTCATAGGCCAACTGTGCATTCCTCTCAAATACACTATCAACATGTGTGTCCACCGTGAAGTTGATGTGGGCATCTTTTGGCCAAATGGGCAAAGGCAGGTCCAGATGGCTTTACCAAAAGATCCACTTCAAATTGTGCAGCTAAAAGCCAGGGATGTTGCTCGCTGGGAGAGTACTCGCCTAATACAGGACTGACGTCAAAACTGACGAAACAGGGGAGTAGGGCCACCAAGGGGACATGAAGAAAGGGAACCATATTATTGTACATTTCTATCCCTCTACACTATAGAAAGCTTTCCCTCGATCACGGATATATGTACCTTTATTTTTACTATTGATTATATTTTCCTATCAAAGTAATCACCCAATTTAAGTCAAATAGTATTCAATTCCTCTTCGCAAAGAAGAACAGTGCCTATGTTCCACTACTTGCCAATCTCTAAGCCTAATCCCCAAGGGTCCATTATCAACTCCTCTGATATTTATCTACATATTATTAAATGCCATACTTATACTGTTCCCTCTTTACTTTGCAATACCAGAAATTATCTATGGATTTCCTATGTTAAAAAAGGTAGCAAGCCAAGTGTAATATCATATGCCAGTACTCTCAACATCCTCAGAAAACTGAGGCAGGGGGATCTCTTTAACGACAGGAGTTCAAGGCCAACCTGAGCAACATAGTAAGACCATGTTTTTTTTTTTTTTTTTAAAAAGTAACAATTTAGGTCTCTTATATCATCTACCCATATATAATTTATGCTTCCATCTAATAATTTTGGTTAAAACATTAGTAGCTTATTTACATTATTACTTGTGGAAAAATATGTTCAGTACTGTAAGAAGCACATTAAGCTTTTTATACATTACTTTATTTCTGGAGTTGCTTTGTGTGTGTGTGTGTGTGTGTGTGTGTGTGTGTGTGTGTGTGTGCAAGGGATTGAACTCAGGCCCTTGAGCTTACCAGGGAAGCAATTTTCTACTGAGCCATCTCCCCGGCCCCTGCTTTTTTAAAAATGGGTCTCACTATGTTGCCCATACTGGCTGCCAACTCCTGGCCTCACCCAATCCTCTCCCTCAACCTCACCAGTCGCTAAGAATACAGGCAAACATCACTATATCCGGCAGCCTGGTGTTTAAATAGCACATTTTTCTAGGTACCCAAAATTTCCCCTTAAGAATTAAAAGAGTTGTCAAATACTTACAAATAATATTTTTCAAATAGTAAAACATCAGTTAAACTATAAGTTCCTTTAACCATCTGCCCCTACCAATGTCTTTTGTGGCTTATATCTGGCCTTTTTGATCTCTGTCTTATGTTAAATCCTCTCAATGCTCCTTCAGAGTTTCCAGTTTTGTGGATCACAAGTCATCCTATTACTCAGTGTACTTTTTTGGGGAAGGGTTGAGGTACTTTGTCTGGGTAGCTTTCATAAGAAAAAAATATATAAACATACATGTTTTGTGCTTATTTGTATGCCTACTTGAAAATGCTGTTATTTTGTGGATCCACTCATTGGTTTTGCTGGGTATATAATTCTATTTTGAAAATTTTGATTTTTCACTTAGGATTTTTAACAGATCACTTCACTTTCTTAAAGATTCTAACATTATAACTTAAAAGCCTATGCCATTATAGTTCCCAATACTCTCTGTAGGCCTTTTTAAATCTGAAGGCTTATTTTCTGCATTTTGAGGACGCTGTCATTTAATTTTCAGCTATTCTGATGGCATGTATTTTAATACTTCTGATATACACTGGATGTTAGCTTTGTTGGACTAATATACTGATGTTTTCCACCTCTTTAAGATTTGAACTTGTAGAAGACTCCTT